AAAAAAAAAAAAAAAAAAGAAAGCGCTGTTAATAAAACTGTGGCGCTGGCAATAAAATTACCTTTTTTACCCTATATTTTTACCTTGTACCAATCAATGAAAATGACATCATTATTCTATATAAGCAGATCTTCTCTGGAATCACAGTGAAAAAATTATAGATACAATGCAGAAAATATATGTTACCAATACAAATTGAAATTAAATTCACAGAGCTGAGCATTTTTGACTAGAAGAAAATCTTTCATATTGGATTTTTAAAGTAACTGCAGTCTGGCTGTAAAACCCACATCTTCCCTTACCGTGTGTGTGGAGCCATAGAATTTGTCAGAAATTGGAAAGATGATAACATGTGCACACTTTTACCTTAAGATCACAGAAGACATTCAAAATTCACAAAAAAAAAAAAAAATCACTTTTGACTCTGGGCGCAGTGGCTCATGCCTATAATCTCAGCACTTTGGGAGGCCGAGGCGGGCAGATCACAAGGTCAGAAGTTCAAGATCAGTCTGGCCAATATGGTGAAACACCGTCTCTACCCAAAATACAAAAATTAGCCGGGCATGGTGGCGGGTGCCTGTAGTCCCAGCTACTTGGGAGGCTGAGGCAGGAGAATCACTTGAACCTGGGAGGCGGAGGTTGCAGTGAGCCCAGATTGCACCATTGAACTCTAGCCTGAGTGACAGAGCAAGGTGCTATCTCAAACAACAACAACAAAAAACAAAAATAAAAAGCTTTTGAAACAAAACTGTCCCGTCTTACAGATTTCCAACTCAGTATTACTGTAATCTAAGGCTCATAGTAGCAATACTAGGCTGAGTCAGGTAGCTCATAGCTACAATGCCAACAGTTTGGGAGGCCAAGACAAGCAGATTATTTGGGCCTAGGGGTTCAAGACCAGCCTGGGCAACACAGGGAGACTGTCTCTACAAAAAATAGAAAAATTAGCTGACGTGTTGGTGCTTGCCTGTGGTCCCAGCAACTTGGGAGGCTGGGGTGGTAGGTTTGCTTTGGGCTCAGGAGGAGATAGAGACTGCATGCAGTGAGCTATGATCATGTCACTGCACTCCAGCCTAGGTGACAGAGCATGACCTTATCTCAAAAACAAACAAACAAAAATAATACTAAATAATGAAGTCTTATTTTCCATTGTGTTACTCACATGCCAATAAATGGGTTTCTGCACAATTATATTTAAATGCACAATAATGTATTTAATGCCAGTAGGCAGAACAATAGAAATAGTCACGGGTGAGATATACAACTCCAAATTTTTAGACAGTTGAAAAAAATGCTTACTAAGCAGTCCACTTACTTTATGGCTTCACACATGTCCAGTCCCATTTTCACACAGTTCTTGGCATGGTTAGGGAGAGAAATAGGAAGTCCAGATACACAGTAATAGCAGTCTCCTAAAATTTTAATTCTCATGCATTCATTCTCCTGGAAGAACAAATTACCAAATTTCAGTTGCATTAAGCACTTGCAAAATGGTCTAGGTTTACCTAATATCATCAGGTGCCTGCTCTGCTCACGACATTCCAGGGATGTCTGGAGAGGGCAGTGAGAACCAATTGGGCTTCCCTTCATTACCCAACCAGAATGAGCTGCCCTCCCCTACATGCCAATTTCCAAAGCAGGATAAATAAGGAAAAGGGAAAATATGGGAAATAAGAGAGAATGTTCTGGAATGATTTTTACTTCATAAAAGCAAAGAAGGATGGGGATGGGGCCAATCACTTTAGTCTGAGCAGCTCCAAACATTGATGGTGAAATAAGCATTCTATGCAGAGCTGAGTCTTTCAGAGTAGAAGATGACGACCAGCACTCTGTAGGAATTAGAATCTCATGTCCTTCCCTACTGTCCTTATAGTTTCTTTCAAGTATTGTAAAGCCAAAGCAGATTCTTACCTACAGACATGTCGCTTCTGATAGATATTGCCACACCTAATAAGCTACCATTCAACAGAGCCAAGTAACTTACACTTAATTCTCATCTTAGGCTCAACTGTTTCAAAATAAAATTTGACTAACTCATTATCTTTCTGGGCTAAATTTTATATTTATATTTTAATATTTAGATTAACTGCATTCATACATGTCGACCCTATATTTGTTTCTAAACTTTTGATCCAGCTTCCAGACTCTTCAGTAAAGTAAAAGAAAAACAAAAACAAAAATGATGTACCAAACACAGGCATTTTTTCTCTAACACAAACACAGGCTTATGTATAAACTAAACAAATTTGAAATAATCAAGTGAACACACCTTCTTAAGCATGTGTTAGGTTTGCTGAATAGTTTGCCTGTTTCTTTCCCTGTTTGATGGTGCACAAACAGGACATATTTTCACAGGTATCTACAGCACTACAGATACCTACGATGTGCTTAGTAATTCCTGACGACAATATCATAAATAAGGAAAAGGCAAACAATTACATATTAATCAAGCTTCCCTCCCATACTTCCTAAAAAGATATTCTGAGACTAGAAAACATGAGTTAGAGTGAATCGCAATGCTTTTGAGTTCTTTAGTATAAAGTTATATGCTTTACATAAAAAATACTCAGTGCATTGGAGTATCTGTTTTCTGACAATAACCCCCCATTAGTGAACTGTGAACCATGAACTCATGTCGAAGGCACACTGTGCCTCTGACCAATGATGGATAAACCAAGGGATGGAGAGTCAGCTAAGGTTGTAAACTCCTCTGTTCCAGTGATTACAGGAAGTCATGTCAAGTACCTCTTTCATGGGTAATGAATTATGTCCTTACAAATTCGCATGTTGAAGTTAGTCCTGATACCTGTGAATGTGAACCTATTTGGCAGTAGGGCTGTCACAGATTTAATTAGTCAAGAGGAGGCAGAACTGGAGTTGGGGAGGCGGGGGCTTATCCTCTAAGAAGAGTCATTTGAACACTGAGACAGGCACCTAGAGGAGAGAATGTCATCTGAACATTGGAGTGACGTTGTTCCCAGCCAAGATCGAAACGTTTCTTCCTAACGTGAACAGGTAGTCCAGCAAAAATGACCTTTTATTAATTCAGACTTTTAAGACATCATTTAGGTTTCAACCTTTCTTCTCCTATAAATGAGAAGAAAGAGTTCTTCACCCATAGAACTCACCCCCTTCACTTTGGCTTGGTAAAGGAAGGAAGCAGGCATGTGCTTTTACTGATGTTTTAAAATCCACAGAGAGAGCTGTCAAGGTCAGTGGAACTGCAGAAGGCGACAAACTTGGGGAGTTTGGCCTAAGAATGACCATGCTAACATCTGCAAGCCAGATTTCTTCCTAAGAGACTTGACTGGAATGTGCTATCTTGTTTAAAAGTGATCTAAATCACACAACGAACTAAATTTAGGACCAATTCTTCCACAGATAAATCACTGATATTGCTAGGCAAAATGAAGCACTTTTTTGTTGGGAACAATTCAAAGAGAGAATTAGGCCAACCAGAAACATTTAACAGGAAGTACAGGGCTTACAGGAAGAAACTTTTTGTCACTGACGTTGCCACCAGCAATTGTGGCAGTTCTAAAAAGTAATAGGGTCTAGTGTGGTTTCAGATGGTTTTACATCATTTCCTATCTGTGAAATTTCCCATGGAAGAGCATATGAATGGAAGACCCTGAACTTCCATCTTTGTTTAAGAGGCAAAAGAATCAAAGGATAAAAATGAGACAAGAGTCAGTAAAGGCTTTGCATGGAAGGTACACATTCTATTTCAGGGGCTCTTCCAGGGTTCAGGTTAACAATAGGAATAGAGGATGCTGGTAACTGGAGGAGTGGAAAGGGTCATACCAGATCCTGGACACGGAAATGCCTAAGAGAGCACCTTAAAATAGTACCACGAAGAGGGATTTGCAAGTTGGAGCTCACTGCCTGGAATGTATTTATTACATGTGTGCTGAATTATACATAGGAGGAAGTTTTAAAATAGATAAAAACATGATAATGATATGCCATGGCATTTTTCATCCCTGAGACAGGTTTGAGGCTCATCAAACATCAATGGCAAAGAAATCCAGCAACTTTTACAAACAATCTTCCTAAAGGATGCTTTTATGAAAAAGTAAACTATTGATAGGTGGATGAAGAAAAACGAAGCCAAGAGTTTAGAAATCTTCAACGCGGAAGGGAATCTATAATACTCACCTTTGCAATTTGATCAAACTTTCCGAAGAGCTCATTCAGCATGTGGACTAGTTCTCCTGGGGAGCAGTCACTTGCCAGCCGGGTAAAGCCAACGATATCAGCATATAAGATGCTGTAGGAAGAAAGGAGGTATGGAGACAGAGTTTTCTAGATTATATATATATATATATATATTTTTTTTAAATAAAGTAATGATAATTTTTTCAATAAAATCATGTAATTTTGTTTACACTTTATATTTTCGTGAGAAAGATGTAATTTTCCTGAATAGAGAATATATAAACATTTTTTTAAACTTGTTAATTTAAACATTTTTTAAGATTAAACTTTTGTAGTTAAGATGGGAGTGAAGCAGCAAAATAATTAAAAAAAACAAATTCTGTTTATATTGAGTCAAGGAAGAAATGGGAATAATAATCCTTTTTTAAAAAGATTACTTAAATGATTCTGGAGTCCTTCCTAACTGCCAGGATGAAGCAGGCATGGAATATTTTCCTGACGTTCAGAATTAAGCTGGGACAACGTATTGAACAAATGTGGACCTCAACAGATGTCCAATTATAAATCATGAAAAGGGTTACAAAGGAAAACGAGAGAGTGTTATGAGACAGAAGAGCAGGGACAGATTAGACATTGAGGAGTCTGGGAAGGTCACTCTTAGGAAATGACAGAACAGCTTCCCTTCATGGGATATACTCACTAGTGAAGATGAGTGTGAAATTCCTTAGTGCTTTTTACATGTTTAAAATAGGAAAACACAGCACCCTGTGTGCACTGCAACTTGTCCTACACAATAACATGTTTCTGATTCGTATCAAGGCCTTATAAATAGGCCTACATTTCTGCTGGTGGTTTGAGATTCACAGAGTGAATATCTATGACTGAAGATGTACCACGGAGCAAAAATAACTACCATTTCACAGCCATTAGGAAGGTTCTTATAAAACACAAAAATAATGATTGTGGATGAGAACCTGGAGAAATGGAAATAAGTGTGCCTTGCTGGTGGGAGGGTAAAATGATGCAGCCACCATGAAAAACAATATGGGCGGTCCTCAGAAATGTTAAACAAAAAATACCATATGATTCGGCAGTGCCACTTCTGGGTATATATCCAAAGAACTGAAACCAGGAACTTGAACAGATATTTGCACACGAATGTTCATAGTTGTAGTACCCACAATGGCCAAAAGATGGAAACAAACCAAACGTCCATCGACGGATGAATAAACGGAATGTGGTCTATCCATACAATGAATATCAGGCAGCCTTCAAAAGAAATGAAATCCCGACATGTGCTGCAACTCCTGAAAACCTTATACTAAGTAAAATAAGTCAGATACAACAGAACAAATGCTGTGTGATTCTACATATATGGGGCATACAGTGTAGTCACACCACAGGGACAGAAACTAAAATGCTGGTTGCCCGGGGCCTGGGAAGGGGGGTGTGGAGTTGTTGTTTAATGGGTTTGGAGCTTTAGTTTGGGATGAAGAAAGAGTTCTGGAGATGGAGAATAGTGATGGTTGTAGAACAACGTAGGTGTTTGTGAGCCAACCAAACTGTGCACTTAAAAACAATTGCATTTGTAAATGTCATGCTATGCATATTTTACAACAATAAAAAATACAAAAAGGGGCACCAGTCAGCAGGGTGTCAGCCAGGGCAGGGCAGGACTCTGCTGTTCGCCATACTCTGCTCCTTGCACTGATCCCAGGATGCCTGGCTGCACCTTGGGGGAAATACTTGCTCCTCTGCTGATGGACACGAGCTGCAGGAACCTCTGATGGGTACAGGAAAATCAGGGTTTCTAGGGCAGCTCTACTCTCCACTCTGTTCAGATGATCCCCTAAAAATCATCCCTGTTTCTTCCATGCTAACCTATAGTGGCAGGGATCACAAGTGCTGAGCCATTGTCCAAGAGATAGGATGAACAATGCTCGCTCAGAGAAAGAGTCCCTGATTCTAAGCAGTATCAAGAGGCAGCATGTGCAGATGGGCGGTTAACTCCACTTCCTTCTTGTTCACACCAGCCGCAGTGCTTCCTGCGCTCAAAACCTACAGTGAACAAAGCAGCTCTGAGATAGGCTGCCTGGATATACCTTAAGGTGGTCCAGGGGTTATTTGGCAGCAAAGGAATTAAAAAAGTAAGCAGACAATTGTGATGCAAAGTGCAAAGAAGCAAAGCATTATGGGAGAGAAAGCACAGTGCACTTATGGGACCACAGAGGAAGGAAGCCCCACCTGGAGTCTGACCATAATGCCACTTTAGAAAGATCATCTCTACTGTGGCAACCTGGAAGCTGGCAGGCCAGTTAGAACTATATCCTTGGAACCCTGGAGAGCCCCAATGAAGGTCTATAATGTGATGAAATAGAAGTGGACACACGTGGGAGATAGGATGAGGAATGAACTAGGTTTGTCACTAATTTGATGTTGTACGGGGGTTGTCTGGGAGAGGAAAGCATTAAAATGAAGACTGATTTCTGGCTAAGCAATGGAGTTCAGAGATCTAGGCCTGTGCAAATCAAAAAAGTGTGTAGGGAAAGATGACTAGCCCAACTTTGGTTGTGTTGTGCTTGATGGTGGTGCGTTAGATACACATTAAGTAGGTGAATATGGAAAGCTGTGGTTGAGGCCTGTGTATGAGCATCATTTAGATGGGAATTAAAGTCCTGGAATTGTAGAGGATTGTAGAGAAACAGAGAGGAGGTAAGAGAAAGCCCCCAACATACTCTCATTTACAGGAGGGCCTTGATTTAGGGTAAAGAAAAGAACAAAACAGACTGTCAGGAGAAAACTGAGGGAATACAATGCCAAGAGATCAAGGGATAGGAAAATTCCTTAAGAGGGAGGGCAAGGCCAAGGGGTCAGATACACTTGAGCAGTCAAAAAGTGACTTAAAAATATTTCCCAAGATCAGAGGGGCAATGCTGAACTTCAGACATTTAAGGCTAGAAAGAGCCATTAATAGAATAATACACTTAGTCAGACAACTGAATGTTTCTTCTATAATTGTATAGTCAAAATGCTCACAAAACTGAAGGCAAGCCAGTATTTAAAATAATTTTACTCCTTAACATGTGTGAACTTTCTTTAAATGTGGTTTTTACTATCATGTATCCAATTGTGCTTCCTTAGTTCCTACTCATATATAAATGTGTTTCTGTTACCTCCTTCCTGATAAGAGTTTTCTATATCACACTGACATCTGTCTATGCTTGGGTCTTATATAGCTTTTCTAAAATCTGATGTCAAATGGGATTTGCCTTAGCAATGTCTTTAAATTACAGATAAATTTGTTTCTTATTAACAAGCTTCAAAAAACTTAGACCCGAAGCAGCCTGGCTCTTCTAAAAACTCTAATGACTAAACTAAGACCATCAAAACATACCGAGTGAGGTCAGATACATGCACAGGTTACTTATGGAGATAACTCAGTGATAGGGTTTGGATTTGTGTCCCCACCCAAATCTCATGTCGAACTGTAATTCCCAGGGTTGGAGGAGGAGCCTGGGAGGTGATTGGGTCAGAGAGGCAGCTTTTTCTCTTGCTGTTCTCATGATAGTGAGTGAGTTCTCACGAGATGAGATCTGAGTGTTTAAAAGTGTGTGGCACCTTCCTCTTCCTCTCTTTCTCCTTCTCTGGCCATTTAAGACATGCCTGCTTCCCTTCACCTTCTGCCATGATTATAAGGTTCCTGAGGCTTCCGGAGCCATGCTTCCTGTACAGCCTGCAGAACTGTGGGTCAATTAAACCTCTTTTCCTTATAAATTGTCCAGTCTCAGGTAGTTTTTTATAGCGTTGTAAGAGTGGCCAAATACACCCAGCTAGAATGGAAAGCAGCATATTAACATATGGAGTGGATAAAAAAGCAAACCCCCAAAAGAAGTGGTCCTGGGAATGGGAGGGGCACAGAAATTGGTGTTGGTCTGGGTGGGCCTCACCCTGCTGTGGCTGGGAGACAGGGGCAGGAGAGAAATGGAAGGGAGGATGGATCCCCTCCAGCCTGAAGTGAGTCCCTCTCACTATTCCTCTCTAGAGCTCATGGGAGACAGAGGCCCCACACCAATCTCCTTCCCTACTACAATCCCATGATGAAAACATGTTAGTTTTCTAGGCACTGTGACCCCGTGGAAAGTAGGTATGCCAATCTCAGAAAGGCAGTAACTTTCACAGTAAATTAACTGAGGTATGCATCAGTGTCCTGTGACTTTGGTCGCTGGTTTTCCAGACCCAAGAAACTCATCATGCTGATGGCTTCATGGATGCCCTGCTCCTGCAAAGTCCATTTGGAGGACTCAGTCTTTGTGCCTGGAGATCCCACAGGCTCTCCCTCCGATCTTACTGTAATCTGATCACAGGGTTTCCAGAATGAAAACCCTGCTGTCCCCTTCACTCCTTTCTGTGATGGATGCTTGGCCACAGAAGCCAGGGCTGTGAAGGACAACTCAATCCAATACAGGAAACAGCACCCTATTTTCTAATCTTAGTTTGAAGACCCCGAGGGGCAGCAGCAGGTGAGTGGGGTGGCAGAATCTTGGTGATTCGTCCCCCTGCAAAGGATCTACTGTCACAAAGAAGAGATGGTGATGTGAGGTGTGAGATCTCAGGCAAAACGTCTCCAGTCAGGCAAACAGACTCCCAGACCAGCCAAGGCGCAAGCCCAGCGCCCTACCTCACGTTGGTATGCCGCTTCACGTACAGGTTGTGGAAGTTATTTGTGTTCTCCATCTGGCCCGCCTTGGGACCCTGCAGCCTCTGAATGATCTCTGCTTTCATCTCCATGGCGATGTGGGCTGGCAGCAGGGAGAGCAGAAGCCGCTCCTGGACAAGGTGGGGAAGGAGGAACAAAAATCTCTCAGACAACTTGGGGGAAGACAAAATAACACTGGAGATGGGATAATCCTCCCCCCAGTTTATCTCCCCCATCATGGAAAGTGCAAAGGCAACAGGAGACACAGTATGTGCCCATGAGGGGAGCTCAGTGGATGGTAGCTAGTGTTTTTCCATGTACTGGTATAACTGAGCATTGATCATTCATTCATTTATTCATTCATTCACTCATTTATTCAGAAAGTATCCATCTTTGACCAATAAATGCCATGTCCCTTGAACAGCACTAATGTAAATTAAAGAAGAATGCAGGGGCTTCTCTGCCTCAGTTGCCCTTCTGTTTCCCAAGAGTCAGGCATGAATCTTGACTTCCTACTGATTTGTAGGAAGGCCAATTTAGGGATTTTTTCTGACAAGCTAAAATACAGATTCTAGAAATACATATTGGGAGTGAAAAGAGATTTTCTAAGATCAGACTGTATTATTATATTATTTATTATTTATTGAATTCTAAGTGTGTGTTCTTCAGGATGGAGCATAAAGGAAAGTAAAGTTATTTCCCCAAAGATTTTTAAAAATCTATTTTGATTTTAAAGTAGCAAAGTGGAAATAGTATTAAAATTTCAGAAACCAGTGGTCAGTGTAAGATAGAAAACACTCATTTTCGCCTGCTTGCTCATTTCTGAGATAAAATACTAGCTTTAATGCACTTAAGAAAGACAGATGATATTCCACATTTCTTAAATGAGATAGTCAAATACTTTCAAAGATTTCATTTCCTCTATGATAAGCAGATAATCCTCTTTAGTAATTCTAAGCCATTATAAAAGTGGAGTCAGAAATGTTAGCTTCTATAAAATGTCATATAAGAAACTACAGGTGGAACACAAGGAAATGATAACATAAAAGCTTTATGTGTATTTTTGGTCTTTAAATTCAGTAAATCCAGGAAACAATAAATATCAGTATACAATATTGTACTCATTTTAACATAAACTTATTTTATTAGAGTAGCATTTTCTCATTCTCCTCAATGAAATGAAAATACACAATGTTTTTTGGAGGAAAAGTCTAACAGAAGGGTAATCTTCAGGACATCTATCCATCCTGGAGTATTTTAATGTTAATCCATTGAAGAAAACATCATATGCTTTAGCTGTGGTAGAATTTAGCAACTTATATTCAATGTTTATAAACAAATATTTGTTCAATGAAACACTTTATCACATCTTTATCTATCACATTTTCTCTCTTTTTCTTTTTTTTTTTGTCAAGCTGATGAGAGATAGGGGTAGAGGGGAAACTAGGGTTTGCTTCCGGATTCACAGAGCCAGGTGTCAATCTCTTTGGTCCACTCTCAGTGCACATCATTTTGGTGGCTGTTGGAAACTTCCACTGAGAGAGCTGAGGGTAGGCCAGGAGTGCATTCTGATGCAGATGGGATGATCCTCCCCTCAGCTCATCCCCCCCATGGAAAAACAAGTGCAAAGGCAACAGGGGACATAGTATGTGCCCATGAGGGGACCTCAGTGTATGATAGCTAGTGTTTCTCCATGTACTGGCATAACTGAGCATTGATCATTCATTCATTCATTCATTACTTCAGAAAGTGTCCATCTTTGACCAATAAATGCCATGCCCTTTGAAAAGCACTAATGTAAACTAAAGAAGAATGCAGGGGCTCCTCTGCTTCAGTTGCCCTTCTGTTTCTCAAGAGTCAGGCATGATATTTCTTCCAAACACCAGCCTGTCCTTCTCGTCTCATCTGACAGCAAGTGCACTGTGTGTTGAAGCCTTGGTTATGAATGATATACCAGAGACCCTGGTGCATTCTTCTTTGATTTACCATTAGTGCTTTGGAAAGGGCATGGCCCAATCCCTCTCTCGTCTCAGAGCCCACTTGAAAAAAACAGGGGGTTTGTTTTCAGGTAATGGCGCTTCAATTGCTAGCTTTCATCATCTTGATATGAAGAACTACTCCATCATCTGCTCATATTTGGCTACTCATCCCCAAAATGCATAAACTTGCCACTTGTCTTCAGTTTCTCTAAGCTTTGGCATCTGTGACTCATGAGACATTTATTCCTTTGGGAAACTCTAAAGGTAATCAAACTCACGGTGCACCCATGGAAGTGTTTAGCAGATAGAAATTGTCCTATAAGTGTTTAGCAGACTGAGTTCTGCTAGTATTGCCTCCACTGAATTCCATTTCTGTAGGTCCTGAGTGTACACTACAGCAAAGTACTCTGTGGATGGTCACTTCCTCTTCTTTCTGTTTATTGATTAATATATGGAATAATTGGGTGTGAAGCCAAAATATTACACACAAAGGAGCTATAATGTCCAAAGTGTATTCATACCAACAGAGGAATCTGGTGAGGCAAGTATGAAATTTCCATCCACAAAAATCAGGACATCTGCTCAGGCATGGTGGTTCATACCTGTAATCTCAGTACTTTTGGAGGTCAAGGCAGGCAGATCATCTGAGGTCAGGAGTTCGAGACCAGCCTGGCCAATATGGTGAAACACTATCTCTATTAAAGATAAAAAAATTAGTTGGGCATGGTGGCAGGCACCTGTAATCCCAGCTACTTAGGAGGCTGAGACAAGAGAATCACTTGGACCCGGGAGGTGGAGGTTGCAGGGAACTGAGATTGTGCCACTGCACTCCAGCCTGGGCAACAGAACAAGACTCCGCCTCAAAAAAACCCCCCAAAATCAGGAGACCTGTCTGGTCATATTCTCAGACTTGAACATAGGAGCCCCTGCTGAGAGAAGGGAAGCATGTTGCTTTGAGGCTTCCCATTGAATCTGTCATAATCAAAGCAAGTAGAGGTTGAAAATAAATGTTAACTTCTAAAGCACTGATAAGGAATATTCACATGTAGACTATAAATAATTATGGGTCTGGATTTGGCTATCTATTTAGAAATCCTAATAGAATCTGTGCATCTACAGAGATGTATTAAGCTTGGCTTAATTAGGTTAAAGTCCATTTTTTACTCTTTCTGATGGCTGATGAGTCAAGGGCTAAGACAAAATGAAATGCACCAAGCCACAGGTGCTCAGTGTACATAACTCTCCATTAGTGAGCTTATGATGATAACCTGTGTGTACGTGGATTCAATACCAATACCATTTTCCACTGAACTTAAAACAATCAGTCAACTTTCCCAGTGTTTACATGAGTTTCTAGCTATGCTTCTTATAGCTAAGCCTGTCAATATCCTACTCATATCCCTTGCTTGGGGATCACCGTAGATTGTTCCTTTCTAAATGTACGATTTCCTGTGTGTCTGCAAATGAAGAGGTAGTTGATGAATAAATACTACAGCTTTTGCATCAACATCCCTTAATAGGAAATCTGAGCATGGTCTGCACATCCCTCAGAGAGTCACAGGAAAAACTGAGCCCTGTTTCCACCACTGGCCCATTTCATTAGCTGATCTCCCTCTTTGGAGGGAGCTGATCTCATGGTCTCACGCCGTCACCGTGCTAAAGAGAACCACTTCCTAACTAAATGACTGTACCCAGACCCTTGTCTTAGGGTCTGCTTGTGGTAAACCTAATAGACATTTCCAAGCTTTGTCTCTCCTCCTCCTGTAATTCTGCAATAAGATTATGCTAAACCCCAAATCACACAGAGCTGATCCTTCCTGAAAGATACAGATTCTATGATCAAAAAAAGAGAATCAAATATAGTAATCCTTTTCCACACCCAGAGCCTCATTTAACAACCAAATGTAAGTTAAAAATCTTTATTTTAGACCCAAATGTAGAAGGATGACTGACTTTTAATAGGCGGTTTAAAAAATATAGAAAGTAAACTTCATATGTTGTACAAAACAAGATTTTTTTCTTTTGTTGGAAGTGTTAAAGAATCCATGTGAATTTAGACCAGCCAAAGAAAAGAACCTGAGGCTTCCTTCCTGACCCCCATGCCCCATCATTCAATGCTGGCACCACTGGTGGATGGTAGATACTGCAGCACCTGGCAACAGCTCAGGGTCCATGCTTGGAGTGTGCACCCGCCCTCTAGGTGATCACAATGCTGGGCAATTGAATGAGTTTCTGAAAAAAGCCTGAGCTCAAAAGTGGTGAAGCAAGACTCTTTCTTTTAAATTTTTCTTTCTCCTCTTTAAAAATGTTCTGATCTGAAGGAAAAGCCCACTACTATGGCACACATGATAAACTTCAACTCAATTTGTAATCCGACAATGTTAATACTTTCATTAATATTTTAGCTTTTTATGAATGTAGCTGTGTGCCCTGCCAAATTATCTGAAAGAAACACACACACTTAAGTGCTTAATATGCTGGGTATAACTTAGCTACATTATTTTCCCAAATTAGTTGGACTAATTCCTTAAGGATATTTTTGGAAAATCAAGTTGTCATTAAACTGATTGAGGCACACTGGCCATTACTTCTTTCTCTTTCTAGTAAAGCTCATGAAACTACTGATAATTTAGCTAATTCTGGCATATTCAAAGGTTATCTGAGTAATAACTTGCCCTTGATTTGGGGGTTCCATTTGACACATCCCTTTGTTAAACCTCCAATTATTATCATTAGCAACACATTTTTCTTATAACTTGTTCTTTTGAATTGTGTCTGATATAAAAGCTACAGAGTTAATGTAGTAAATTTCAATGTAATAGTGATCAAAGTTCAGAACAATCTGAACTCTCTGAAGTGTTTCTAAACTAATGAAGCAAAGCAGGGATTATAACTATGTTTTCACCTTGTTTTTTAGGCTATTTTGGTTGGTAGGAAAATCCAATTGAAGCAAAGAAGACTTACCTGTACTTAAAATCTGAGCTAAGATATAGTAATATATATTATACCCTATCCCTTCAATAAACCATGCATGTAATAAATATTTAAAGCTACTTTACTTTTCAAAAGGAAGAATAACAATGGAAAACTCCTTTCAGATGAATCTTTAAGTTTTCTCTTTTAATTCTTATTTTAAATGCAATTTCAATTAC